CTATTTTAATTAAGTACTCTAAATTGTTGTTCTGCTTTTATTATTGTAAGCCATCTTGAGATTTTCTGTGAAAAGCTGATACAGAATTTTTTAAAAGAAATAACCACCGGGTGGACCCACATCTGGCCACAGAACTGGGCTCCGAGGGTGCTCATCGAGGGCGCCTTCTCAGACTGGGGAGGGGGAACCGCCAGGCTCAGTCCGGGGCCGGCGCGCTTCGGGGTATTCTTTAGTGACTTGGCATCGTACGAGGTGGGGGATCCTTGGCTCAACGGGACTGCGAGCGAGAAGGGACTTGGAACTGCCACGGACCACCAGCTGCGTGTGAGTGGGACATGGCTGCAGAAGGGGCAGCCGCTCTTTTGGGTGGCGAGAACAGCAGCATCGCCTCGTTGCCCCGCCGCCCCCTCTGCCCAGCTCTGCGTGGGCCTCAGCGGGAGTCCTGCGTGCCCTCGTGGGCGCCTGAGGTTAGGAAAGACGCGGCCAAGCTGGAAAGGGCTTGGAGGAGGGCGATCCGGGGAGGGGGAACCAGGCCCTGGGAGGAGGGATGGGGGGCGCGGGGCGGGCCTGCCTCGAGGAGAGAAGACGGGGGCGGGGGGAGACGTGGGGCACTCGCCATCCTTGAAGGGCTGCCACAAAGAGGAAGGGCAGGACCCTGATCGTCCCAGAGAGCAGGGCGTGGAACAACGGGATCCAGCAGCTGGAAGCAGCTGGATTTGGGAGAGCAAATCCGGCAAGGCTACTCTGTTTTCATTTTTTCTTGGAGCAACTTCCCCGATGAACCCTGGGAATGTTGCGGAAATAATCTGGCTTGACTTCAGCAAGGCTTTGACCGGGTGCCCCGTGGTCTCCCGACAAGCGAGCCAGCCCCAGGCGGGCTGGACGGAGCGGCGACCAGGGGGCTCCGCCGCTGGCTGCCGAATTGGAAGCGAAGAGTGCTCATCTCGGCACCCTCTCAAACGGCGGGCAGGGGGAGCAGATGGTCCAGTCCTGGGCCCACCGCTCTTCCACACAGTCATTGCCAGTTGGGTGAGGAAGCGCACAGAACAAGGCCCAGCCTTGCAGATGACAGAAAACCGGGTGGGTTTGAAAGGACTGGGTAAGTGTCAGGTGCTGCACCTGGGAAAAAGGAACCGAGTGCCTCGTTACAGGCGGAGGAATGCTCGGTTCAGCAGCACTGCAAGCGAGGAGGACAGCCAGGGTGGTGTGGTGGTGAAGAGCGTGGGACTGGGACTCGGGCAATCCGGGTTCGAGTCCCCGCTCGGCCAGGGAGCCAACTGGGGGGCTTTGGGCCAGTCACAGACTCTCAGCCCAACCTGCCTCACAGGGTTGTTGTTGGGATAAGATGGGGGAGAATGATGTAAGCTGCCTTGAGCCCTTTTAGGAAAAAGGGGGGATATAAATTGCAATATAAATGATAGATAGGATCTTGGAGTTGTCCTGGCTCACAAGTTGCACACGAGTCCACAATACGATGTGGGTGCAAAAGGGGCAAATGCCATTTCCGGCGGCATCCGTAGAAGCCTCCCTTCCAAATCCATCCCGGGCTCCCCTCTCCCCAGCACTGCTCAGGCCTCGCTGGGAGTCCTTGCCCAGTTCTGGGCACCAGACTTTAGGAAGGATGCGGACCAGCTGGAAGGGGCTCAGGAGGGCGGCAGGTGGGCGAGCCCAGCCTTGAGAAGGGAGGGCGGAGGGAGAGACGGGTGGGAGCCCTGGGTTCTCGTTCATCCCAGGGTGCGGGGCATGGGATAAGCGCCCGACGGCCCCGGGAGGGGGGGCTCTCCCACCCTGGAGACACTCGGGTGCAGCCGGACAGCCTTCGGAGGGGGTGGTGGGACTGGGATTCCCACACTGAGCAGGCGCTGGCCCCTCCTCGCTCTCCTGCTCGGTGGCTCCCGCGGTCCGCAAGGGGGTGGATCCCATCAAAAAGCGAAATCCACTTGGCCTGGCAGGACTCGCTCCTGACAGATCCAGGCTGGCTTCTAGCAAGCTCTCCGTGGTCTTCAAGGTGCTTGGATGACCTTTGCTTACCTGCTCCGGAGTTTTTCCAGGGATTGATGTCAGACTAACCTAAATAATTCTGTTTTTTTTTTTTTCATTTTTATTTGATGTCCCAGTATCTTACCCTATATTTTAATTCATGACTTTTTCACTGAAAAAAGAGCTATGCCATCTGCAAATAAACTGATGTTCTTTTCCATTAATTATGATTCATTGTACTATTTCTGTTGTTTCTAATTGTGTTAACAGGCTCAATTAAAAGGCAAATAGAGGGAACAGAGGACATCCTTGATCTGTTCCTCAATTTATATAAGTAAGTTTCAGCTTTAATTCTGTGTCTTCCAGAAAAGGACTTTGCTTTGATATCATCTGTTGACCGTTTCTCAAAACGTGTTTCCAAAATTCATTTTATCAGTTCTTTTAAAAAAATGCATTACAATCTATCAATAGCTTCTGTTGTGCCATATGATAAAGCTGACTTTATTCCTTTTGCTAAACTTACTGTATTTTTCGCTCTGTAAGATGCACTATCCCCCCCTCAAATGTAAGGGGAAATGTCTGTGCGTCTTACAGAGCGAATGTGTGTTTGCCCGACGCCCGGGATGCTGCCGGCCGCCTGCACCACGTGGCACCACCTGGCCGGCACGCGCTCGGCGCGCCGCCCCTCCGGCGCAGGTGAGAGCTGTTAATCACAGGTCGGTGTGTGTTTTCAAATGGCAACCCGTCTTTCAATGAAACATAGAAACATAGAAACAGAGCGAGTCAGAAGGGGCCTCCCGGGCCATCTAGTCTGACCTCTGGCACCAGCCGGCTCTGCTCACAACATGCCCACCATATGGACGTCCAGCCTATCCTTGAACACTGTCACCGATGGGGCCTCAGCCACCTCCCGTGGGAGCCCATTCCACACCCTCGGGGTCCTGACTGTCAGGAAGTGCTTCCCAGCATCCCAGTTGAACCTTGGCTCCCTGAGCTTTGCCCCGTTGGAGCGCGTCCTGCCTTCCTCTGCAGGGGAGAACAGGTCTCTCCCCACCTCCGTGTGACACCCCCTCACATACCTGTATGTCGCCAACTGATCCCCTCTGAGTCTCCTCCAGGCTGAAGAAGCCCAGTTCCCTCAGTCTCGCCTCGTTCCCCATCCCCTGCAAACCAGTCACCAACCTTGTGGCCCTTCGCTGCACTGACTCCAACCTGGCTATATCCTTCCTGCAATGAGGGGCCCAAAACTGAGCACAATACTCCAGTTGCGGGCGCACCAGAGTCATATAGAGTGGTAGTAATACCTCTCTCGATCTAGAAGCCACACTTCTGGCTATGCAACCAAGGGTGGCGTTCGCCCTCTTGGCCGCCGCATCACACGGCTGGCTCATGTTCAGCCTGCAGGCGACCAGCACCCCGAGGTCCCTTTCACAAGTGCTGCTCTCCAGCCACTTGTCACCTAACCTGTCCTTATGACCCCCATTCCTGTGCCCCAAGTGCAAGACCTTGCACTTCTCCACATTGAACGCCATCCTGTTGTCTCCTGCCCACTTCCATAGTCTGTCCAGATCCTTTTGGATCCAGAGTACCTGCTACTCAGTCGTGGCCACTGCCCCGGTTTTAGTGTTGTCTGCGAATTTGATCAGCAGACTGGTCACCCCTTCTTCCATGGGGAAGCGATGGGGAATGTGCCTGTGATTATTAGGAAACTTTCCATGGATCAGTTATCTGTTAGTTGATCAGACCCATTTTTTTTTAGGATCGGTGGATATTTGAACAGCGTTACCTCCGTGTATGAAGTTTATTCTTCAAAGGCTACTTAGTCCGCTGTGTGTTTGATTTACTGTACAATATCTCATTTTTTGTCAGAATTTTTTTATTATTTACTAGTAGGGCAGCGTGGACATTACTGGCTTTTTTAGATTTGTTATTGAATTGTCTGCAGCAGCTCTTGTATAACTGGTGTAGATTGTGGATCCCTTCAATAATGCCACTACTGACTAAGAAAGTGATGTCAGTGATTGTGAGCAACAGAGCTTCACAAATTCTGACTCTAGTGATGATGAGTTCTGTGGGTTCAATGAAAACTAGAAGAGTACTCGAATTTTAAAGTCTCTTTTGTTAATGACAGTGATGATGGTTCTTAATGCCACTGTTGACTGCTGTTCACTTTACAAGGTTGAAATACGGTATTACTGTATTCTGTTAGATTATTAATTAGTTTAGTAAACCATTTGATTCAGAATGTTTTTTCTTGTTTTCCTCCTCTAAAAACTAGGTGCGTCTTATGGTCAGGTGCGTCTTATACAGCTAAAAATACGCTAATTGTATTAGGAAGTCACCTAACTGGATCTGGAATTGGTCTGTTTTTAATAAAATGTGGCCAGTCATTGGCGTGACGTGGTGGCAAGTTACCGATTCGCTCGTCAATATGCCCGTCGGTGTTTTTGTCCGATTCGGCAGTGCGGCGATCCTGGCTGCCGCCCGGGATCGGGGGCAGGTGTGGCCTGTTCACCGTAGCAAAGAGCAGCCAAGGGGAGCAACATGCTCAGCGGGAGGGACCGAGCGGGGGGGGGAACGCGAGGGCTTCTCCCCTTCATCCCCAGGGCTGCAGCCCAGCGGGGCCGCTCCGGGGAGCCCGTGCAGGCAGCGCCGGCCGGAAGGGCCTCTTGGCCCCGGATGCCCGCAAGAGCGGGCGAGAGGCGTGCTTGGGGGGCGCGGCGGCCGCCGGCCAGCAGGCAGGACAGCTCTGGGGTGCCGCCAGGGCCAGAACCAGGTGCCCCGCAGGCTGGCTGCTGGGGAACATGGGCACGGGGGCGTCGCACCTGGGGCTCCACGCTGAAGCTGCAGGCCTCCGAGCCGAAAGCTCGGGCACCCTTCTGGCCCCCGCCCGGCCACCGGTTCCCCCAGGGCAGGCCCACCCCCAGCTGCAGCCCCCTCCACTCGGCCGCTGCTCCTCAAGGGGCGCGCTGCTTCCCCGCCACGCGAGCCGGCCGGCCGCCCTTCATCAAGGACCCTTCTGCTTTTCATCGTTGTTTAATGAAAATTTGTACAAACAAACAAAACTCATGCAAAAAATGTAGAAATGGCGGATGGAGAGGAGTGACCGGTGGGAGTTTAAATACACGACGATGTGGGTATGGCTCCGAAATTAAAATCCATGCATCGCCCCCGCCCCCCCCCCCGGAGTGAAGTGTCGGGCCTTCACCTTAAATAGATTTCTGAAGCATAGCCTTTGTCTCTGTCCGTATGTTACAAATATGTACAGAAGGAAGCAGCAGGGCAGGCGGGAGGGGCGAGCGGCCCAGGGCTGGGCCCGGGAAGGGGGCCGCAGAGCCCCCGTGGCACCGTGCGCCGGGCCCCGGGGAGGCGCCCGGGGGTCCAAAGTGCATTGCAGGGAGAGGAGGGGGGAGTGGAGCCACCGGGCCCTCCCTGGCGTCTGGGGGGCAGGGTGAGGCGCTCCCCCCGGGGGCCCTGGCATGCCGCCCGCCGGGCCGGCTCACCCCGGGAGGGAAGGGCCGGGCTTGGCACAGGCGTAAGGCGAAGCGTGCGGGGCCTCGGCCCGAGGCCTCGGTGCTCGGGCACCGCCACTGCCCCTGCCCGCAGCGGGGCAGAGGCTCTGTCTCTATTGCACAGTCCTGGAGCGGGGGAACGCGCGGACGGCCAAGCGTGGCCTCCCGCCGCTCCTGCAGAGCGGGCCGGCCCGCAGCCGTCCGCTCTCCCTTGCCGCCACCGCCGCCAGCTAAGTCGCCAGGCCGCGCTTCTGGCCGGGGGCTTCCACCTCCTGGCGCTGCTTCAGCTCCTTCATCCTGGGCAGAGAAGTGGGGCTCTGTCTCAGCGCGGGGCCTTCCCTGCAGCAGCCCCCACAGCCCCCCAAGGCGAGGGAGCCCCCGGCCCGCCGGCACGGCCCCACGGGCTGTGGCAGGGGAGGAAGGGGGGCGGCAGGGAACCCCAGGCCCCGAGTCCAGGCGGGGCCTACGCCCTCTGTCCCGGCCGGTCGCCCGTCTTCCCCCCACACGCTGCCTGGCTTTCCGGGGCTCCTCGGACCGCAGGAGCGCTCCGTGGGAAGACTGCCCTGCGCCCCACAGGCACGCACCCCCCTCCCCACGCAGCGCCCCCCCCCGAGGCCGCCCGTCTCACCATACCTGTGTCGACACCGCCGCAGGAACCGCATGATCTTGCGGGCGGCCTGATCCTGCTTCTTGGTGAGGAAGGTTCCCCTGGGGGGGAGAAGTGGGCCGCAAGGGAGCGTGAAGGACCCTGGGTGGCCCGAGGCCCCGGCCCCCTGCCCCCCCAGCCCCCGCACCCACTTGATCTTCTGCTGCATGGCGGACGAGGCGCGGTGCCCCTGCTTCAGCCTCTCGTACTCCTTGTAGCTGCGGTAGCACTGCTGGATCAGGACCGCCGCGCGCCGGCTCTGCTGGAACTTCTTCTGCTCGTAGTAGCTGCGGAACTTGCTCTGGATCAGGATGGCCGCCTGCGTCATCTTCTTGTAGAGCGCGTACTGCGGGGGGGGGGGCAGCCTTCAGGGTCCGGGCGGCCCCTGCCCCTGCCCAGCACAGCCCCCGGCATCCCTGCCCCCCGCGAGCTCCCACCCACCCCAGGGCCGCTTCTGTGCCGGGCACGGCCCCCCCGACAGGAGCCCCTCGCGACCCGCGAGCACTGGGGCTCGGCCAGCCCCCCGCCGGGGCCCGTGAAGCAGCCACGCTGCCCGGCCCACGCAGGGGCTGCGTCCGAGAGACCCCCGTGCCCCAGAGGTGTCTACTGGGCCGTGCGGGGCTTGCCAAGGAAGCCCCCTCGCCCGTGCGCCTCCTGCCTCGTGCTGCGGGCGGGGACCCCCGTCCTTCCCCCTGGAGACCGCAGCTACGCGGCCCGCCCCGCGGCCCGCCCAGCCGCGCCAGGGCCGGGGGCCGAGTGCCCCCGCGGCGCCCCTGCCTGCGCTCTGGGACACCCTCCCGCTTTACCTTCAGCGCAATCCAGGTGAGCTTGTAGGACAGAGAGAGACGAGAGGCGAGTTAGTTGGCAGGGGCTGCTTGCGTGTGGGGGACTCCCGGAGATGCCCCGCCGGTGCCCGGAGGCTCTGCCTGCCAGCCCCCCCCCCCGGCAGCCCCCCAGGACCCTCGCCGGGCCTCACCTGCTTGTACTTGCGGTAACATCGCTGGATGACGGCAGCCGCCACCTCCTGCTGCTCCTTCAGCCGCCGGCCCTGCGGAGACCGGGGGGGGGGGTGCCCTCAGCACAGCCGCCAGCTGCTTCTGGACCCCGTGGGGAGGCAGCGGCAGTCCTCGGGGGCTTTCCGTGCCGGGCGAGGCGGATGGGGGGCCTCGGCGCAGCGTTCACCCCCCCGAGCCCCTCCAAAGCCAAGCCCGGGCCGTGTCCACACGAAACAGGCGGCGGCGGCGGCAGGGGGACCCCGGGCGAGGCCTGTGCGGCACGGACGCCGAGGGGCTTGGGCGCCGGGCACGGCATCTCGGGGGCTGAGCCCCCTGCTGCTGCTTCCAGAGGCGGTGGGCTGCGGTACAGGGCCCCCGCCTGGCCAAGTTGCTGGCCTCGGCGGGAGCCGGGGAGACGGCCGCAAGCGCCCCGAAAGCAGCGGCCGGGGGGCCCTGCCCGTCCGTGCGCCGCCTGCCACGGTGGGCACGGCTGGCGGGACCAGAGCAGCAGCCCAGAGGGGCCCCATGAGAGCCCCCAGCACCAAGCAGAACCAAGCGACACCCAGCGGCCCCAGATGGCCCCGGGGATCGGCCTCGCCCTGCGGCAGGCCAGCCGCCCGGCTTGCTCGCGCCCCGGACTTCAGAAATGAAATAAATCGAGTAACAGCTGGGGAGGAAAGGAAGCCCCTCAGGGGCCCCGGGAGGGACCGGCCGGCCCCGTGCCTGGGACTCCGAGGCCCAAGCCACACCGGGAGCTGCAGCGCTCCGGTCTCTCGGCGAGGGGTCGGGGGAGGCGGCACCCGCACCACGTCCCCGGGGAGCCCGCGGGGCGGCTGCAGGCCCTGGGGGACCGTCCCGGGGCCGGGCCGCTGGCCTGCGAAGGGCCCGGCCGGGCAGCTGCACCTTGTACTTGCGGAAGGCCGTCTGGATGACCTTGGCGGCCTCGTACAGCTCTCGCTGCTCGTGGTCCGAGAGCGTCAGCAGGGCGAACTCGCTCTCCATCTTCCCGTTGGCGGAGGCGTTGAGGAACTCGGCCCAGCCGGCCGCCGTGGGCGGGGGCGGGAGGCGCTCGAGAGCCAGGTCGCCCAGCGGCGAGTGCAGTGGGCTGAGGCAGCCGTGGCCCGAGGGGGACCTGAGCGGGTGCAAGGCAGCGGTGAGCGGGGGCGACCGAGGCCGCCACGCCGGCCCGCCACGCCGCCCCGGCCGGAAAGCGCGTACCGCCGCTGGGAGGCGCTGGGCAGCTGGTCCACGCTCTCCAGGTAGCTGGCCAGCCAGGACATGGTCTCGCTCAGGCCCACGTTCCCCGGCCGCTCTCGCAGGGGCGTCTCGGCGGAGCTGAAGTCCTCCTGCTTGATGTGTTCCGGCGTGGCCTCCACGATCTGCTTGGCCAGCGTGATCACGTCCACCTGCCGGGAGCAGCACAGACAGGCGCTGAGCGGCAGCCCCCGCGCCCCAGTGGGTGGGCAAGCCAAAGGCCCGGGCCCAGGAGAGGCCGGCCCCCCGCCCGCCTGGGCCCCCCGCCTCTGCCATGGGAGCAGCGCCGGCCCCAACGGCCTCCGGGGACAAAGGGGGGGTCGCGTGGCACTCCTGCCGTGGCCGCCCGCCAGCCTCCCCCTTCAGAGGTTTGCCAGGGCCGGCCGGCCGGCCCCCGGGGGGCCCTCCGCTTGCGCGGCCTGAAACCGGCCCTCCGCTGAGAACGGCGGTGCCTCCCGCTGGGGCCTGGAGCGGGCCGGCCCCAGCACTGGGGCCCAGGCCCTGCCGGCCTCCCCCCGTCCGCGGGCCCAGGGCCTGCAGCGTGAGCCCGGCCGTGGGGCTGGGAGCTGTGGGCGCTTCTCTAGGGCGCCCAGGAACCCCGGAGGGGGGGAGCGGCCCCTCCCGGGCCTGCCGGCTGCCAGCCAAAGGCCGGCACGGGTGGCTCTCACTCTGCCCGTGGACGGGCCGTAGGCACGGGCTGCCTCTCCAAAGTGGGGCGCTGAGGGTCAGGGCTGGAGGAGGCTCTGCCCACCCGGCTGGGTGGCGACGGAGCAGGGGGCCACCCCAGGGGACCCTGGTCTTGTGCTGCTCTGGCCCTACCTGCAGGGCGTCCACAGCTGGCAGGTACCCCTGGTTCTCAGTGTTCTCCTCATAGCCCAGCAGCTCGGGCTCCAGGTCCGGCTCCGTCCCGCCGGCCAGGGCCGCGGCCCCCACTTCATCGTAGTCCATGAAGAAGGGGGTGTGCGGCAGGCCGGGGGGGCTGGGGGCATCCCGCAGGTACCACCTGGCGATGCCGTCCGGCACGGGGGGCTGGCAGACGTCCATGGCCCCCTCCGCATCGGGGCTGTAGGCCGGGGACTCGCGCAGGGCCGAGGCGCTGGAGTAGGCCGAGGCGACGGAGAGGGAGCCCTCGGAGAGCTCGGAGGGGGAGGAGACGCCACTGGCGGTGCTCAGCCCTGGGGAGGCCGGGGCGAGTGAGTGGGGAGGCAGCCCCGGCGTGCCTGCCCCCCGTGGGGCAGCCCTGAGCACGGGGGAGCCCCGGGAGACGTGCCGGGCCCGCCCCACCCCACCTCTCAGCATCCCAGCAACGTGGCCTTCTTGGCCCCGCTTGGGGGGGCGGGCAGAGCGTCCCGGCAGGCTGGGACGGGAGCCACTGCACGGAAGGCCCTGCTGCGCCAGCGGCAACGGCCCCCCGGCCTCCCACCTGCCCCCCAGCAGCACCCTGAGTCTCCTGCCACCGGGGGCGCAGGAGGGGCGCTGCAGCCAAGCGGTCCTGCGGGGGCCCGGCCCCAGAGCCCCCGCCCCAGAGTGCCGGCGGGCCCCCACCTGTGTCCGGGCTAGCCGAGAGCGGGGACGGGATGTGCAGCGCTTCCGCGGGGCGCCGGGGGCCCCCACACGCCTTGCTGGCGCTCCCGGGGCGCTCCGCAGCGGGCTCGGGGCCCGGCGGGTCCGGGGCCGCCTCTTCCTGGCGCTGCAGCTCCTCCAGGCACGTGGCCAGCTTGACGTGGCCCCGGGAACGAGCCACGGTGAGCGGCAGGCGGCCCAGGGAGTCCGGGATGGAGAGGGCGTGGCGGTTCCAGTGGTAGAGGAGGCGGGCCGCGTCCATGTGGCCCAGGGCACAGGCCCACATCTAGGGGGGGAGTGCAGACAGAAGGGGTGGGGCGGCTCCAGCGGGAGGACCCCGGAGCCACTCATCCCCAGCAGGAAGGCTGGCACAGCGCAGAGGGAGCCCCAGACTTTCGCTAGCGGAGGAACAGAGGGAGCAACGGCCTTTCCTTAGGTTGTAAAAACAAGTTTCTGTCCCTCACGAGGGAAAGGCTGCAAATGTGGCAGCCGTTGGGCAGAGGCGTTTCACTAAAGGAAGGGACGAAGGTTCTGACCCCAGCCCATGCCGAGCCCCTTCTCCCAGGCCCGCACCTGAGCCGCCTCCCGAGCGAAACACCCCGCCGTTCCTCTGCACGTCCCGCTTCTCTGCTCCCCCAAGCAGGGCGTGGGGTGCCCGGCCCCAGCCAGGGCAGCGGGGCAGATCCTGCCAAGGGGCGGGCGGCAGTGCCCTTCTGGGGCAGCCCCCCGCCTGGGCCTGAGCCGGCTTGGCAGGCAGCCGCAGGGGCCGGCGCGCTCCGGGCTGGCGGCCCCCCAAGCAGAAGGCGTGCCCTCCAGAGGCACGTGGGCTTGGGGGGCCTGGGCCCCGTGTCCGGGCGGGGAGAGCCGGCCGGCGGTCAGGCCGGGGGCCGCCACCGCCCACGGCAAGGCGCCCCGCACGGGCTCCCGGGGGCTGTGGCGCGCAGAGCGGGACGCAGCCCTGGCCGGCAGCCAGAGGGAGGTGCCGGAGGCCGCCTCCCCGCCATGCCCCCCGCCCCGGGCCTGGCCCCCGGCCCGCGGCCCCCGGCGGGGCCCCCTGCCCGCAGGCTCACCAGCGGCGTGCAGGAGAAGTGGTCGACGTTGAGCGGGTCGACCTCCTGCTCCAGGTCCAGGCTCTGCGCGCCGAGGGTCCTGTGCGGGGCGGGAGCAGAGTCAGTCCCCGGCGGCGTGCTGGGGGCCGGGGGCCGGGGGCAGCCCCGCCGCTGGGGGGCGCGGGGGGCCGGACACGCACCGCCACTTGAGCAGGCTCTCGATCAGGCGGGTGTAGCCCTGGGCGGCGGCCAAGTGCAGCAGCGTCATCCCCCGGAAGCTGGAGTGGCGCACGAGGGTCTCGGAGCGCAGCCAGCAGGACTGGCCCATCATCGTCTCGCACAGGGCCACGATGCGCTCCTCGAAGGCGTCCGGGGCGGCCTGCGGGCGGCACGGGGTGGGCCGGCGCCCCTCAAAGCCCTGCCCTGCCCTGCCCCTGCCTGACGCAGGGGCGCTCGGCACGCGTTGGCCAAGCGTCGGGGCACCCGCCCCCCCCACAGCACAGTCACGAGCCGCGATCCCTCCGGGCCCAGCCCCACGCTGTCCTAAGCGCCGGCCTGGGAGCAGCTGCGCCTGCCAATGTGCCGGACGCCCCTGCTTCTGAGCCTTCCTCCCAAATCGCCCAAGGCAAGGACCGGCTGTGAAAACACTCTGCCGAACAGCAGGGCAAGAGAACTCTCCACGTGCCCCGAGGAAAGCTTGCCAGAGGCCTGCCGGTGCGGCTGCAGCACGCCGCCGTGGGCAGATGCCGCTGCACGGCGGTCGCAGGCCCCGCCAGGGCTCGGGTGGGCAGCCCCCCAGCTCCGCCACACGCGACTTCCCTGCCGCTGAGCTCAGTGGAAAGAATTCCTGGCGCGGCCGCCTGCCTGGGGGGCGCATGCCTGCCCGCCCCCCCCCGCTCGGCCCAATGGGGGGATGCAGGGGCCTTCTCTGCCCGCCACCAGCCCCAAGAATAGCCGGGCCGCCCCCAGGTGCCAATCCCAGAGAAACCCGAGACGGACGCTGGGAAGGGGCTAAATATACTCGCCGTCCGCCACGGCCGGCAACAAAGGGGATGCGGGCGGGGGAGCAGAACACGGCCCCCCAGGCCCACCGCGAGTGCCCTGAGGCCCACCCGCTCGGACCGAGGGCTGCTCCTCGTCTCCCAACCCTGGGCTGCAGGGGTCCCGGAGGAGCCTGCTGCTTCCCAAGCCCCCATGAGCAGTCGACCCCACGAAGCCCCCCACTCCTTCCGGGGGGGGAAGCTCCCCAAAACAATTCTCCAGACAGACAAAGAGACGCACCCCCTCGGCCCCTTCGTGAAGCGCCGCGTCTCCTCCGCCCCCAGAGACGGGGGGCTGCCCCTTCCGTGCCGCCCCCTGCAACTGGGCCTCGCTTCAGAGGCGCTGCCTGGGGACCCCGCGGGGAGGGGCGCCCCTGCCACCCCGGATCAAGCCCCGCTCGGTGCCGCGTCCTGCCCAGGGGCCGCAGGTGCTTTGGGGCCCGGAGATGGACGGCTGGCAGGGCAGAGGGAGCCAAGCGGCTCGGACTCGCCAGGCAGGAGGCGCTCTCGGCCAAGGGCCAGCAGCGGGCCAGGGAGACGCCCGGCGAGGGGGCGGAGGGGCCCCGAGGAGCTGCGGCCCCGGGACCTCTGCCGCTGCTCCAGCCCCCTGGCGGTTGGCAGGCGCCAGGGCATGTGCCGAGCGGCCCTTTGCGCAGAGGCGGATCTTGGCAGAAGCGGGGGAGAGCGAGGAAGATGAGGGCGGGGCAAGCGAGGACCCCCGTTCCCTGCGCCCCCAACGACTGGCTTGGCGGGGCGCCTCCCCCCAGCCCCGGCGGTGGGCCAGAGTCGTCCGGCTCAGCGGCCTGGCCCTCGCCGGCTCGGCCAAGAGGCGCCGGGGGCGGGGGGGCCACGCTCCAGCTCAGGGGGGGGGGCGGAGGGCGCGGGAGCCGCTCCAGGCCCAGGATGCCCGGGAGGGGGGGCGCAACCAGGCTAGCCCAGCCAGCCCCACGGACGGGGCTGCACCCGTGGCAGGACGGGGGGCCTGCGGAGCCCCGCAGGGAGGGCTTGGGGGCCGCCGGTCCAGGCTGACGTGGCCAAGTGCGCCGAGCTGCCTGACCGGGGTGAGGCGGTGACCTCGGGGGGACGGGGGCATCCGGGGGAGGCAGCCCCCCGAGCCAGGGACCACCGGGCGCCGCAGACACCCCGCGAGGACCGGCGGCCGAGCTGCACCTCCATCCCCAGAGAGCGCGAGTGCCGGCCAGGCGCATCCCACGCCATCGTCCCAAGGCGTCCGGGGGCCACGTGGTCTTCTGGTGCTGCTCACTGTGCCCGCACGACACCCCTGCGAGGTGGGAAGAGCCCCAAGGCACCCAGCGCCCTCCCCGGCTCACGGGGTGCGGAAGCCGTGATGCCCAAGCCGCTGCCTCGCAGGCGCACTGCTAACCGCCTCCGGAGATCCCCCCACCCGAGAGGCTGCCAGACACCGCCCCCCCTCACCTGGCTGGGGGGCTTCCTCTCCCCCCGCGGCTGCGTGGGGGGCCCCGCGGAGGCCACCATCTCAGCCATGCGCTTCTCCATCTGCTCCAGGCGCTCCAAGATGGACATCCTGAACTGGTTATCTGCAGAGTCCGGGCGAGACGGAGAAGGGGGTGACGGGGGCTGCAGCCGCCCCCTCCCCGCCCCCCCCCCCCGCCGCCAGGTGCTGCATCCCCCCGGGCACGGCGGGGGCAGAAGGCCTGAGGCGACGTGCAGGAATATTTTGGGCTAATCCGGACTAAAGACAGACTGATTAGCAGGTGGCTTGGCTTGGCCTCGTTTCCTTGATGGGCCAGCGGCTGCCGTAATCCAGGGTAAGGGGGGCAGCCGAGGACCATCCCCCCCAGTCCCCCCTCACATTTCAGTCTTCTTCCCCCACGGAGAGTCCAGCGAGCGGAAAATGTGAACTGGGGGGAGGAGGCCTTTCCGCCCAGCAGTGCAGGGACCCCCATCCAGAAGCCCCCTCCCCTCCCCTCCCCCGGCTTTCTACTCCTCACCGACCAGCGGGACCCCCGGCGAAGGCCTCCAGCCGGGCTGGGGGCAGACACCCCAGCTGCCAGGCAGCGTGGGTGCCCCCGGGGGCTACCCAGCCACAAGGCTCCGCAGGAACGCTGGGGAGGGGGCACCCTGCGTGCTGGCAGCCCCCCACCCCGCCCAGGGGGCTCTTCCCCATCATTCAAGAGGAGGGGGCCGGAGCTTCCCCACCATGCTCTACCATGGCCTGAGGCACCTGGCCAGTAGCGGCCGCCGCACCGGGCGACGACCCCCACAAGGCAAGCGGCACACGAGAACCCGAACCGGCGCTCCCCACACGCCACCGCTCAGCCGGGGGGGGGGCCGGCACGAGGGGCACGGCAGCAGCCCCGTCCAAAGTGGGGCGCCTGGACGGGACCGCCGGCAGAACGGAGCCCGCGCGCCCCTCGGCCCCGGCCCTCCCGCAAGCGGCTGTGCTGCCCCCCGTCCGAAGGGCCCCGCCGGCCGGCCACGCGCCTCCGCAGCCCCCCCAGACCAAGCACCCCCTGCAGGGGGCGGCCGGGCAGCCCCCCGCCAGAGACGCACAGCCGAGCATGGGCGGAAGGAGCTCGGCTGCCCCGGCGAGCGAGCCGGCTCCCGTGGGGCCCCCCGAGACGCGGCAGATGGGCAGGGGTCCCCCGGGGTGGCACGCCCCCCCTTCTCCAGCCACTCCGCCCAGGCCGCGTGTCGGGGCCCCGCACCTCGTCGGCCAGCTGGGGTGTCCTTGGGGTGCCCCCGCTGCGGCAGCATCCGCGACTCCCGACGCACGAGCAAGCGCCCCGGATCGCCCCCCGCCGGCCCCGTGTGCTCCCCTGCGCCCAAACCCGCCCCCGCCCGGCACGGCACGCCCCACCCCGAGCCCAGTACCTGCCGGGTCCATCGCCGGGGAGAGCGGGGCCGCCCCGCGCCGGCACACCCGGCCCCCTCTCCTGCGGCTCCGGCGGGGCCAAGCGCCTCTGTCAGGGGCCGCCCCGCGTCCGGGTGAGCAGGGCCCGCCCCCCGGCACTTGGCCTGGGGGGCGGGCCGGGGCGCGCCAACCCTCCCCGGCATGTGGCGGCCGCTCGGCCCAGCCGTGGGGGGGAGGCCCCTCCGAGACAAAGCCGTGGCCGCAGGGGGAGGCTGCAGCTGTCCCGAAATAGCCGCCGGGCGGGGGGGGGGCGCGACGGGCGGGGAGAGGCCGCGAGTCAATCCCTTAATGAGATACCAGGCACCCGCTGGCCGGCGTGCGCGAAAACACACGGGGCGCGCGGCACGTGCCGGCGGCTCCTGCCCCTGCCCCGGGCGCCCCTCCCGCATGCGCTCCACGGGGTGGGGGGACGGCGGCTCCACCGGGGCGGGTGGGTCCTCCGGCCCAGGACGCCCTCTGGGCCCGGACAAGCCCCTTATGGGGGCAGCTTGGCCACGGCGCCCGGACCGTGCGGTCCAGGGGCTTCCCTGCTGGAGTAGCCGGGGCCCCTTGCGCCCGCCCTCCTCAGACGCCCCGGGAGGGGCGAGGCGCCCGCACTTTGGGGGCGGGCGGCTGCCGGCGGGCCTCACTTTGCTCAGAGGGGCGCTCCGGAGCACGGCTCTCCGGCTGTCTCCCGGGGAGCACACCCTACACCCGCGCTCCTCGCCAGGGGGGTCTCTCTGCAGGGGGCTTTCCGGCGTGTGCGAACGCTAAGACGCATCACGGCCACGGGGGGGGGCAAGGGCTCGCGTCACAAAGGGGGCCGAGGGGATCGGCCGGCGGGGCCCCACGGTTCCCAGGAGAGGGCCCCGCGCCCGCCCCGCAGAGCCGCCAGGACGCCTGGGTTCCCCCGGAGGGGAGCGCCGGCCCCAAGCCAAGCCGCCCGCCTGTTATTTTTGGCCCGTCCTGCCTGTCATGGAAACTCCTGACGTGCGACCCCCCCTCCCAGTTTCCATTGCATGGGAAGCCACATGCCGGGAAAACCCCCCCCCCCCCCCCGGCTGGTAAGGTGACACCCTGGCTCCGGCCCCAGCGCCGGCCTTTCTCCGCAGTGCGGCACACAATGCCCGGCCGGGCCCACAGCTTCGCCCCCACGGAGGGCCGGCGAGGGGGCGCGTGAGGCCCAGCACGGAGCAGCGGGGAGCCGCCCCTGGACAGGGGCAGGGCGGCTCGCCTTGCCTGCTGCCCAACTGCCCTTCTGCTTGCGGGGCGAGGGGGTCCCGGCCCACCCTCCAAGCCATCCGCCGTCCGTGCAGGGCCTGGCCGGGGGCCCACGGAGCCCGTCCTGCTCCAGGAGGCTGCGGGGTGGCTCGGCCCCGGCCCCCAGAGGCGCACGGCCGTGGGCGACACTCACCATCCAGCGAGAGCCAGTCCAGCGGCGTGCTGGGGGGCGCCAGGAAGTTGCGGGCCCGGTACTCGAACAGGACCGGCCACGAGAGCAGGCGGGAGTCCTGCGTGGCCACGTGCAGGGGCGCCGGCCCGGCCTCGTGCGCTGCGGGAGCCGGAGAGAGAGGCGGTGAGGCCCGCCCCACGTGCCGGGCAGGGGCCGGGCGGCACTGCCCCCCGTCGCGCGGGGCCCGGTACCTGGGCAGTAGCACCGCAGCACCCCGGGCTGGATGAGGGAGGCCGGCACCGCGACCTGGTCGAAGAGGCAGTGGTACCGCTCCGTCTCGTCGGTCCAGGGGCCCGTGATCAGCACCTTGACGCCGCCCTGTGGCCCCAGGCGGGGGAGAAAGAGGGGCAGCTGTGAGGGGGGGCCCGGCAGCCCCCGCGGCCTCCGGCTCCCCCCGCCCCACCTGCAGCACTGCGGCCTACACTGCCCATCCCCAGCCAGGACAGCAGGCCCCCCCGGGCCAGACGCCCCCCGGCTGGCCTCCCCGGCAGTCCCCCCCCCCCGGGCCAGACGCCGCCCGGCTGGCCTCCCCGGCACACCCACCTCAGGGTAGGACCATTCGGGCGAGAAGTCCGTGATGGACACCAGGGGCTGGGGCGAACCCCCGGGGGGCCCCTTGGCCCCAAAGCTGGGCTCCACCAGCGGCTCCGGCAGGGCGGGCCCCGGGCCCTCGGCCCCCTCCATGCCACGGGCGCCGCAGCTCGCGGCCTCGTCGGGCAGGAGCTCGCTGATGAGGTCGGGGAAGTGGCTGTCGAACGAGAGGCCGAAGGAGCTGCCCGCGGCCGCGGCCGCCACCGTCTGGATCATGGAGTACAGCTCCTCCTGCAGCTCCGTCGCCGAGATCTCGGCTGCCGCCGCCCGGGCCGGCTTGCCGTCCCCGGGGGGCCCCGGCCCGGCCAGAGGGCCCCCCTCGCCCGCCGTCTCCATGGGCACCTCGGGGGCGCCCCTGGGCTCGGGGCCGGCCGTGGCGGGGGGCGCGCCCGGGGCCGGCGGCTGCCCGGCCGGGTCGTCCTGGATGAAGAAGCGGTTGGCGGGCAGGTAGAGCGGGAAGGGCGGGGGGGCGGCGTCCTCCGGGGGCTCCGGCTTGGGCTGCAGCCCCGGCCCGCCCCCATAGGTCTGGCCCCGCTTGGGGCTGTTCAGGAAGCGGTCCGGGTCGAAGGCCGCCTCGCCCGCCTCGCCCGCCTCCATGCCAGTGCCCAGGCTCTGCGAGAGCACCAGGCCCGGGCCGGGCAGCAGCGCCAGGCCCAGCGGGGTGGCTGGCGCGCCCCCGCCGTCCCCCGAGACCAGGTGCTGGCTGGGGGTCAGCGCCAGCGGCTTCTCGGCGCCGCCCAGCCCCGTCATGACCAGGATGCTGGCCGGGAGGCCGACGGCCAGGGTGACGGCTGGCAGCTCGGGCGCAGGGAAGCCGCCGGGCCGGGCCGGGCCGGGCGAGGGCTGCGTGGAGTCGGGGACGGCGTCGGCCCCGCCGGGCGAGGCGGCCGGGGCCCCGTTGCGGTCCGTGCTGTCGGGGCCGGGGGGCCTGGCCGGCTCCGGGTCAGCCTTGACCTCGGGGCCCCCCGAGACGTTCCGCACGTCCGTCAGGGCGGGGTGGGGGCCGGGGCGGACTTCCAGCTTGGGGGAGATGATCCGGTGCCTCGTGCTGCTGCATTTGTGAGGGACGTGCCCGGGACTGCCTGCGGGGGGGTGGGGGAGAAAAGAGGAGTGAGAGAGAGGCCCGGAAGGAGACCCCGCTGGGAGCATGGTGGCACCTGGAAGGGCCAGGCCACGCTTCCGGGAAGCCAGGCCCTTCCGGAGCCTTCTGCATGCGCTGCCCAGCCCCATGAGGACTAGCCTCTTCTGTGCCACCTTTAAACAGTCAGGTAGGCCCACTGGCCGCAGCGGGGGAGTGCAGTCCCGGCCCGGCCCACCTGGGGATGCCGCCGGGCACTGCACCTGGGCCTTTCGGCTGCGGGGGGGGGGGGCGGTCAGCGTCGGCCACCCTGGGTTCAAGCCGAGACGCGCACAAGGGGCACGCATTACCCAAAAGCCATCTGCCCTGGGAGCGAGGGGGCAAGAGGGTGCCAGAGCGGAGAAACAAGGGGGCAAAGCAGAGGATCGGCACGACAGGCGCCGGGTCTCAGCGGGCGCTGGGGGGCCCTCCTCCCCGTGGGGCCACTCAGGCTGTGAATCGCCAGGGCGGGAGGCCGGCTCTTCCGGGCGCCGGAGGGGCCTCTGCTGGCGGGCCGAGGGACAGCCTGGCCAGGACCCGAAGCGCTGGGCCCCGGCAGCTCCCTCTCCAGCCAGCCGGCCGGCCATCCCGGGAATGGCTGCAATCCCCCATGGCGCCACTGGAGGGCGACAGAGGACCCACGTCCCCAAAAGCCAGGGAGGGGCCGGGCCTCTGCCAACCCGGTGTCCTCCGGCTGTGCCGACTACAACCCCCAGCATCCTCAGCCAGCAGATCTCAATTCTAGTACTGGGAGAGGAGTAAAAACCTTTCCGCTTGCTCTCTGCTTTCTTTGCTCCAGGAATCTGGAATCCCGTGTCCAGTTCTGGGCACCGAGATTTCAGAAAGATGCAGGTAAATTAGAAAGGGTCCAGCGGAGGGTGGCAAAAATGATCAGGGTTTGGAAACTCTGCCCTGTGAGGAGAGACTGGGAGAACTGGGCACCTTCAGCCTTGAGAAGAGAGGACTGAGGGGGGACATGGGACCCCTCTGTAAGGACCCCGAAGGCTGCCACAAAGAGGGAGGCCAGAGTGCAGGACACGGAAGAATCAGTTCAAGCTGCGGCAACCCAGATTCAGACTGGACATCGGGAAAAGCTTCCTCACGGCCAGAGCAAAGGGGCAGTGGGACCGGCTGCCCGGAGAGGTGGGGGCTCCCCCACCCTGGAGACATTCAGGGGGAAACTGGGCAGCCCCCGAGTGGGACGGTGTGAACTGGTGTCCTGCACTGCAGGGGGTGGACTTGATGGCCTCCATGGCCCCTCCCAACTCTGCTCTTCTATCGTTTTATGAGTCTATGAATCGCTTTGCATCACGCCTCGGTCCTGCCGGGCCTTCCTCTTCAGAACTGCCGCCCTGAACGTCGCGCGAGTTGAAAACGAGGGCCGCGTGTCGCAAGTGGGGCGTTAGCCCTACGCAGATGGAGCGCCCAAGTAACGCCCCCACCAGGCAGTGCAGCCCACTCCTCCAGTCGCCCTTTCGCTGGCGCTGGTCCCCCGTGCTGAGGGCCCCCTGCCGCGGCCCCGCCTGCCGAATCTCCTGCCCAGCCGCGCCCCCAGGATCCCGCGGGCACCGGGGCGTGGCATGGCTGCCGGCCAGCCTGCCAGTCCCCAATCTGTGGGTTCCCCGGCCGTGGAGGGGGGCACGAGCCCCCAGCTCGACCGGGGCTGCTCCTCGCAGGTGGAAGCTCCTTGGCCGGTTTCTCGTCCGGCCCGCAACTGCCGAAATCCTGGAGGGTGATCCGAAGAGGAAAGGCGGGCAGGACGGAGGCGGGGGCGAGGCGAGCGCCTCGACCCAGCCGGCAGGACGGGCTGCCCCCCACCGTGGTCGGGGCTCCCACCGCAAGACGGGCAGGGGGTGGGCATAACGGCCCGGAGAACGGCTGCAGCTGAGCCCAGTGGTCGCTGGAGCACAAAACGCCCACCACCACTTGCGTGTGCAAGGGAGTGTGCGAGAAGCGCAGAAGTCTTTACGGTACCAATTGCGTGGCCATCGGCAATCCACTCCAGATCCCGCAAAGCTTTATGAAGTGAGGTTTTTCGCACTGGGGGGGGGGCTGGGGACCAGGTGAAAGCCAACCCCCGTCTCTACGTCTCGCGTGTGTGCACGGGGGGGGTGCGCTCCAAGGGGCCCCTGCGCGTTCACCCAGGTGGGCTTCATGCTGGCCGGGGCGCCCCCTTCCCGTTCCCGGGCAGCGTGGCGGGGGCTCGGCTCCGCCATCCCGTTGGCGCTGTGGAGGCTGCGGTGGATCCCTGGACCGAGGCGAGGAGGCGGCCCCGGGCCGGTCTGGCCCCGCGCGACCCGGGCAAGTGGGGGCAGCCGCCAGAGGGGCGACGCAGGCGAGCGGGGCCAGAGGGCGGGTTGCCTGGAGGCGCAGGCGCACCGGGAGCCTCTCCGTGGCGCTCACTGCAGCGTGCACGCGGGCGACCGGCGAGTCTCCCTGGTGCGGGACGGAGAAGAGGACCGCCCTGCCACGGGGGCAGCTCTGGGCTCGTAGGAGGCTGGAACCCTCCTGACGCCGAGCGGGCGCAGGGCAGGCTCTCTCGAGCGGAGGGAGCGTGGAAAGGCGGGGAGGACGAGGTCCGGGTTGGGACGGTAGGCAGGCAGGTTAGGGCAGAGAGCTGCTCCGTCCCATGTGGCCACTGCATGGGAGGCAGAGGACTGCTCCAGGCCCCCCGGCACAGCAGCAGCGCCCCCTCAGCTCGGGGGAGCGGGAGCAGCTGGCAGGCCATGGAGACCGATGGCCAGAACTAGGTTCCCGTCTGGGGGCCGCAGTGGCCAACTTCTTGGAGCATGTCGTGGTCTTCCTGGCACGTGGGACGTGGCCCCGTGCGACCTGCAGGGCATCCTTCCAGAGCCAGCTGGCCTGGCGCCTGCTGGACTGCCCTGGGAGGGTCCGGCAGGGCACACGGGCCTCCATGGCACGGCCCTGGGGGGAGGCAGCCACGGCCACGGGCAGGGCGGCTCTGCAGGCTGCCATGGGCGGCACGGCAGGCGGGGGGCCGGCGGGCGAAAGGGAGGGGGGCACGAGCTGCTCTGGGGGGCGCAGGGGCGGCGCGTCGAAGGAGGTCGGAAAACTGCAGGTGAGGCCGTTTCGATGGTAACGGAACGGAAAGGGGGGGAGCGTTGAGGGAGGGAGGAGCAACAGCGGAGGGAGGCAAGAAGGGAGAACTGGGGGGAAAGTGCCGCAGACTCAAGGGAAGGACGAGGAGCCCTTTGTTCCAGGCGCGGCAGCCGATGGGACGGAGCCGAGGGAGGGGGCCCGGAACGGGGGGGGTGCCCCCGCTGCAGAAGCTGCCTGGCCACGGGCTCTGCCCAGGCGCGGGGACGCGCGGGGACCGCGGGGGGGGGGGCTGCAGCCCAAGCTTCGCGCCTGCCCTCGGAGGTCACGCAGCAGGAGGAAGTCAAGGGCACCCCGGCTGCCTTCCCGCGCTGAGAGAGTGGGGGGTGAGGGCAGGGCCTTCCCTCCTGTAGGACCAGCCTGCGGGGCAGCCTCCCCACGGCAACGGCACCTGCGGCGGCACTGTCTGCCAAAAGCCTCCGGGCATTTCCTCCCGTGGATCTTTGCCACGCGTTAACCCCGACGTTCATCTTGACTTTTAAAAATGAAGAGCGGCCTCGGACTCTTCTGGCAGCAGCGGCACCGGCGACACTGCCGTGCGCAGAGCGCTGCTCCCACAAGCTCCCGGCCGGGCTGTCCCCCGACGGGCACAGCGGAGGGCCAGCGTGGGGCACTGCCCGAGCACTGGCGGGGAGACCCTGCCCCCCCCCCCCCGCTTGGCAGGAAGCTCAGCCGGCTCTCGGGCTGCCGCTGCCGGGGCAAAACCGGCGGGCCAAGTGCGCCGGGAAAGGAAACCCGGAGAAGGGCGGGTGGCACAGAAGCAACCGGGCACTTTGCCCGGATCGCTCAGCTGTGCCACGGGGGGCTCTGGGGCGGGTGGAGGGGAGGGGCGCGGGGGGCACTGACCCAGGCCGCTGCTGCAGAGGCAGGCGTGCGTCCGAGGGACCTTGGCCTGGTGGCTCTCCAGGACCTGCTGCACCAGCTGCTCGATGGAGAACTCTGCGGTGCCGTTCCCGCTGCTGCAGGTCCACTTGATCCCATGGACTGTGGGGCAGAGGAGGACGCGGCATGACCCACCCCCGTCCGGGTGCCCCGGCGCGCTCCCGCCCTCCGCCAGCCCAGCTCGCCCTCCGCAGGGCAGTGGCCCCTGGCGCCCCCGGCAGCGCTCCCCAGCTCAATCGGCCGCAGACTCGTCCCGAAGACACGGAAACGCGCAGCACGGGGAGGCCCCCCGGGGACGGCCGGACTCCGCGCAGGAGGCGGCCCCCGCCCAGCCGGCCCGCAGAGGCCAGGCCCCCGGATCGGGGTGGCCAGGCGCCTCGGGGCGCCCCCCTCCGCCCGGCCCTTGCCGCCAGCATCTTCTCCCGCGGGCTTCCCGGCTACCGCTCCGTCCCAGGAAAGCATCCGGAGGACCCGGCACACGGGCAGCCCCCGGGAGGCCTCCCCAGCCGCCCTGCGGACGCCCTTCCCCCGCGGCTTCTGCAGCAGCAGCAGCCCCCCCCCCCCGCCGCCCCCCCCCCCCCGGGAGGCCCCGCGCGGCTCACACATGGGCTTGAGCTGGCCCACCAGCTCCTCCTGCGACCACTTCAGCCACTCCTTGCGGTCGCTGCCGATGGAGCACAGGGCCGGCCCGCAGGGCTTGCCGCAGTCCTCGACGGCCGGGACGTTCAGGTAGTGCACCAGCACGATGTCCGGATTCTGGGGAGGGGGGGCGGGCAGAGGGTGGCGGCGGCGGCGGTGGCGGGGCTGAAGCCCCACACACCTGGCCCTCCCGCCCCGCGCCCACCATCAGCAGGCTCCCGCCCGGCCCCCCCACGCTGGGGAACCTGGGCTCCGGCTCTCCCGGCCTGCTTGGGGCCCCGGGGGCAGCCCATGTGGACGGAGGGCTGGCCAGAGAGGCCCCGGACCCTGCCTGGGGCCCCTCCTCGGGCGGCCTTCCGCGGAAGCCGGGGGGGGGGCGTGCCCGGCGCGTGGCACCCACCTGCAGCAGCCAGTAGCAGCGCCGGTGGAATGTGGGGACGATGGACGAGTGAACGTAGCAGCCGTAGAGACACTGCGGGGGGGGGGGGGGAGGCGTGAGCCGGGCTCTGCGCTGGCCACCGGCCCTCCGACCAGGCCCCCCGGTCCGCACTGCGTGCCCCCGGGTCTGCCTGGCCACTGGCCGCCACTAACCAGCAAGACCAGCACCCCCAAACGGCCCTCCCGTCCCCGAGGCTGGTCATACGCGGTCACCCGGACCCCGAGAGCTGGCGGCTGTTCTGGGGAGCCCTTGGCAAAGCCTTCCCTGGGCAGCCTCACAGCCTCTCCCCCGCCGCTGCTGCCCCATCCGGGGTCCTCCCCACCCTGCGCCTTGGAGCCCAATCCGCAGCCCCCGAGTGCACGTGCCGGACCAAGAGCGCCCTGCTCGTGCAGCGGCAAGGAGCAGGGGGCGGGCGAGTGCAGCAGCCCCAGAGGGCCCCCGCCCCCGCCGCCCCCCGCATCTCCCACCGGTGCCTCGGCCCCCCAGGCGCTTCCTGCCCAGAGGCCCCCGGCCTACCTCCACCCCCTTCACTTTCAGCTTCATGTGGTCCTCGCGGGTGGTCTTGCCGTCCTTCCGCTTCTTCCAGCAGTAGCCGTCTTTCCGGTACTTCACCTTCTTGCGGTTGTACAGAATGATGGAGCCGTTCTGGGGTCTGCCGGGGGCGGGAGGGGAGGCGGCTGTGGGGGCGGGCGCAGCGCCCGGGCAATGGCAAGGGGTCTCCGGGGCCTGCAGCCGGCCCACAGCCCGGAGCCCGGCCGTGGCGAGGCAGCTCCTGTGCCAGGCAGGCGCCCCCCCAGGAAAGGCCTCTTCGCCACCCCGGGCAGGCCAGTCCCCGAGCGGATGGGCTGATGCTGAGCCCGAGGAAGGCCTCTCCCCCTGCCGTGCTCCGTGCCCCGCTTCGGAGCCCTGCCCCGCTCCTTGGGTGGGCACAGCGCCCCCCTGGAGGCGGCCCTGAACCCATGGGGTGGGCTGCCCGTCGAGGGCCGACACGGGATGCCCCGTCGCAGAACGCCAAGGGGGGAGCCGAAGCGGAATCGTTAGGAGCCAAATGCACCCAGAAAGGCGAGCTAGTCCTCGGACTGGGGGGGCAGAACCAGCCCGGATCCCGGGGAAGAGGAGCGAGGGCCGGGGCCGGGCTGGCCTGGGCACTCCGCAAAGCGAAGGGGCTGAGCCAAGGCTCAGCTGGGGCCCGAGAGCCGCCTGAGGCATGAAGTGTTCAGTCAAGGGGCACCGAGGGGTCCGGCTTATCAGTTCCCGAGCAGAAGGAAAAAGCCCTGCATAGGGCTTGGTGTATGGATGCCCCATCAGCAAATGGGGGTAGCTTCTCACATTACGACTTGGACTTAGAAACACAGAAACAGAGTGAATCAGAAGGGAGGACCCAGGCCATCTAGTCTGACCCCGGCTCCAGCCGGCTCCGCTCACGACATGCCCACCATGTGGATGTCCAGCCTGTCCTTGAACACGCGCACCGATGGGGCCTCAGCCACCTCCTGTGGGAGCCCATCCCACACCTGAGGGGTCTTAATTGTCAGGAAGTGCTTCCTGGCATCCAAATTGAGCCTTGGTTCCCTGAGCTTGGCTCCGCTGACCTCATCTGGCCTGAACGGTGCACACCTGTGCCTTCTTCAGAGAGTTTAATTTTTTGGCATGTTTAGTAATGATAGCATAATTAAACCTGCGAGATATTTCTAGAAATATCTACCCAATTTTTACGCAGCTGCTGCTACGGGGGCATATTGCGCAAGCTTGCCCCCTCGTTTTGGTGTCCCTGTTCTAGAATGCGAGGCTTAAACTGACCGGTTAAAAGAAACGGGAGCCAACAGGTGAATCAGGGAAGATATCTTATGGGTGTTCAAACGGAAGTCCCAGCAGCCTCGGCCGGACTGAGCGAAGCCCGAGGCAGTTTCGGAAGGGAGAGGAAGGGCAACAGTCCCGAAACCCCTTGGCAGCAGAAGGAAGCTGCCCCCTGCAATCGGGCATCCCCACGTGTCCGACTGCCACGGCCAGATGGCTGGGAATGATGGGCGTTGCAGTCCAACATGCGTGGAGTGGAGGCATCTTAGGAAGCAAAGGGAGGGCTCTCCGACGTGGATGGGACACGCTCTCGGCGAGCCTCGAGGGTCGCTGCCCTCCTCCCCCAATTCCACGCGCAAGAGCAGGTTTCTCGGCGGCCTTCCTCGCCCCACGGCATCTCCCCCCCCCCCCCCCCCCCCGGGCCCCCCCCCCCCCCCCCCGAGGCCGGGCGCAGGCCCCGCCATACCTGGTCTTGGGCGAGCACGAAAGCCACTCCTCATGTTTCTCAAAGGTGATCAAGTAGGAGGCGATCTCCTGCGGCAGGGAGGGAAGGGACACACGGTCGGGAACCCCGTCACGGGCGCCCAGCGGCATCCGGCAGGGGGCTGCCCGGGCGCGGAGGCCGTGGCCGGGCCACACCGGCGCCGGAGCTACGAGGGGCAGCATCCTGCCCCCGCCGGACCCTCCCGGCTGGGGGCGGCGTGGCCGCTGTGGGATCTCGGCCGCTGCTGCACAGGCGCCCATCTGGGAAGCACCGGCGCCGGGGCCTCCCCCCTCCCTGGCTCTGTGCCCGAAGCCAGGAGAGCCGTGGGCAGCCGCTGCGGCCGGGCGGGCGGCCAGGGCCGTGCACGCCGGGTCGGGAGGGCCTTGCTCGGCCTGGCGCGAGGCCCTGGGGGGGGCGCGGGGGGGCGCCCGGCCCCGTCCCACCTCGTTGGTGTTCCAGCGCAGGCGCTCCTTCGGCAAGCCGGGGCACTTGGACACGCACTCCAGCAGCTTCTTGGGCAGGAAGACCTTCAGGTGGTGGCTGTTTTCTGCGGGGGGAGCAGAGCAGGCCGCGTTGGCGCCTCCGGGCTGCCGGCGGGAAGCCGGGGCTGCGGGGGGCCGGCCCTGCAGCACCCGAAGGGCCTGCGGGGCGTGCGTGCTGGCAGCCCAATCCAGGGGAGGGAGGGGTGGGGGGCTGTGGGGGCAGGAAGGACAGCCCCTCTCTAGAGCCCTCGCCGGGCCCCATTTTATTTATTTATTTATTTATTTATTTATTTATTTATTAATTAAGCTTCTGTGCTGCCCCATTCGCCGAAGCCTCGGGGCGGCTCACAATCATAAATAAATAACATAATATAAAACAATATAATTTAACAGTATAAATTACGTCGCCCTGACCAAAGAATAAAATAAATAAATATTATTAACAATTAAAATGATGTTTGAATAAAAAGGTCTTCGCCTGGCGCCGAAAAACGACGGCGCCAGGCCGACCTCTCTGGGGAGCGCATTCCATAGATTGGGCGCCACCGCAGAGAAGGCCCTCCTCCGGGTAACCCTCCTAATCTCCTTCACGGAGGGTTCCCGGAGAAGGGCCTCTCCCGCTGATCTCAGAGGGCGGGCGGGCGTATATGGACGTAAGCGCTCCTTCAGGTAACCAGGTAATTTTCCTGGGGGCTCCCCTGGGCTGGGAACTCCGCAGAGGCGCGGGGCCAGCCGGGCAGCAGTGCCTTCTCCCGCAGGCACTGGGGTGTCGCCTGCTCGGCTTTGAGGCGGCTTTTCAGAAAGGGGTGCCCATGGGGCCCCTCTGACCCCTGGCATGTGCCCGGCCGACGTGCGAAGGACTTGGGGTGCTGGGACGGCATTTTTCTGTTTGTTTGATGCAAAAATTTTCATGCACATCCGTGGCCAGACAAGCACTTGCGCACAAGCACGACACAATGAAATGTATAAACCACACGCCCACACACACAATCCCACGGAACAAAACACAAGCAGGCAGATTCCTCCTTTGCAAAACCTGAAGCCTCCCCCCCGCCGCCCCCCCCCCCGACAGCAACAAGTTCAGTGGCCAAAAATGCTTCTGAATGGAGAGAGCTTTGCTTGGCGACAAAACGCCCACGGGGCAAAGGTGCCACCTGCGAAAAGGCCCCGCCTGGCCGCCCCCAGCAGATGGCCGCCGGGAGGACGAGGGGGCAGGGGTGCTCCCTCAGGTGGGGGCGCCGAAGGACGAGCAGGTGAGGCCAGATCCTGAGGGGCGCCAGACCCCCAGCACAGACTCCCCCGCTCGGTGCCCGCAGGCAACAGGTCTGGAAGGGGGGCGCGCGCGGGGCGAGGGGTGGCGGAGGAGCCCCGAGGGGCGCGACAGGGAGCAGCAGGGGCACCTGCGGCCCGACTCACCTGAGACCTCGGTGGTTTCCTTGTTCATCTTTAGGGCTTTCGGTGGCGGCAGGTTAGAGCTCTCGGCCGGGGGGGCTCAGATCAGGGTGCAAGAGGGCCGGGATCGGACCTGGAGAGGGTGCAGGCGGGGGCTGCTCGCGGGGGCGGCCAGGACAGCCCGGCGCCCCCCGCACCCCGGGGCGATCACCGGCCTCCCCTCCGCTCTGCCCCGCGCCCCGCTGCCCAGCCGCGCCCCGGCCCCCCGGCACCCGCGGGCGCCCCCCGCCGCCCCCTCGCCGGCCATGCGGGCGGCGACGGGGGGCTGCAGGCCAAGCCGCGGGAGGGAGGCTCCGCGCTGG